GTTTTTAATATTTTATATAAACAATAAAGATATTTTAATTTTTACATTATTTTTCTGTGCACTCGAATTATACGGGATTTTAATATTTTTGCGGTTACAAATAAAAATGTACTACTTCGTTATAAAGTTCTAATGGAAAAGTAATGAAAACAGAACTTCTTGTGATATTTTCATTTTTCTTATCATTTAATAACTGTTGCATATCTGTCTTGCGTTTACATACCTTACATAGCTATTTTCTTTGTTTTCTTACGTAAGGAGCAATTTTCAGACAAATTGTCTGTCGAATCTTATACATATAGTAATTTATTTTAATTCAGACCGTTTATCGTTGTTATTTCCTCGTAAATTCAAATTTTATTTTACTCGAATTTTTTTTTCAATTTTTTTTCATTTTCAGTCTAAAATTGAACGTCAATACGTTCTGTTTCAGCACGTACAAAAATACGGAGGAGCCTCAGCACATTCATTCCAGTACTCTCGGCCATCAACCTGTGTTAACATTTCAATGTGATCCACATGTGCAATCGAGCGCCATGTCGAACAGTCTTCCGGATATTGTGATCAATGGAGTACTTTTGGGTATATACACGTCATGAGCAGCTCACACCCAATTACACCCAACGATATTTTTCACGAACAGCATCAAACGAACTACGTTTCATAAAAAAGAAAAACAAACTTCCTCGTTGTATAATTCACATGTATTTTCTCGTCCCACTTTAATTGTGGGAGTACGTTGTTATAGTGGGAGTATCTTTGTGGGTGTACGTCGACGAATGTATGCGTAGAAAGAAGTAGGTGGTACCGTTTCATGTACATATATTCTAACGTCACGTTGTCAGAGTACGCGACAATGCGTCATATCTTTTCGGAAATTTGATTAATCAAGAAGGAGAAAAATCGAGTTCACGTGTAACTCGATCAAGTTTCAAACGATTAAACTATAACTCCACTTAGAGGATTTAAAAAGGTAACAGTTACACGAGAATCTATGTAACCCCATGACATGCCAGAAAAAAAAATATACACGCTATATTATGTATTTGAATTATCGTCTCGTTTATTTCATCTCATTATTTTCAGAGTTTACATTACTTGTGTGACATTCATCTTAATTCTATTTAACTTTATCGTATTGGATATCTGGATTGTAAATGTAAATTGTAAATCATAAGCGGATCTCTTGCGGTATTTTCTTTTTTATTCGCATTTATTCGTTTACTACCGTTTTAGAGTAGCGACATTGCGGAGACACCCGCGCAAAAACCTATCTCGATGGTACTCCCACGTTTAATCACGGGTGTATCGCGCGATGCTTCTTTCTCTGCGTCGAGACACAGCGTTCTTTTTCCCTCGTTTTTATTCTCATTTTTTCTTTCATTTTCAACCCCCTAGAAGATGTTCGTCTTCAAGCAACGATTAATAATGTCGATAACGATATATATTTCCCATGAAAAAAGATACGTTTTTCTCGCTGATTCCAGATATACGCTTCTCTCTCTCGTTTCTTTTTTCTCTCCCTTGCCTGTCGCTGGTAGGCGATTATTATACGCGTACAACGATTTAGCGGATGATTTATCTAGCGCCTGGTTGTTTAGTTATAGCCACGAGAATTAGCGTCTCTGCCATTAATCGGACCTATCGATCTCCTATCTTAAATCTGTCCTATTCGAACGCTGAAGGGTAAACGGGCAGAGGCATGGAAAAAACGACACAGGGGGTGTGAAACGGTGAATTCAGGCGGTGTAGTAATTCGTTTGGTCCACTGGATCGGGCGTGTTTGTGTTGCACTCGACGCGCAGTTTTCTCTCTCTCTCTCTCTTTTTTTTTCTCTCGATGTGCTTCTCGGGCTCGCTGAAAAATAGGAAATCTCTTCTGCCGCGGTTACGACGTCGCGTCGTTTCCCGCGCGTTTAGAAAAACTCGGTAAAATGGTGCACACACGCGAACCGGAAACGCCGTGACAACGGTAGTAACATGTTATTCGCGATATAGTAGGACCTTCTGTCGTATGTACAACTTACAATGCATCTTTTTTTTTCTTTTCTTTCGTTTCTTTTATGTCGTTACAATTATTAATGTCATGGTAATAAAACCAAACCTCCCGATAAACGTCTCGTTTTTTTTAATATCAAATGTACTGCATTAAATGTATAATTATATACAAGCTCCTCAGTCTTGTGCGAAGTGTAAGACGATTTTTTTAGGATCTAGCACTTCCGCCTCGATGAAAACTAATCGTTATGAATATTATATTATCCCTCGAATTATTCTTTCTGTCAAACGTTTCGTTTTTTATGCTTCCACTCTATTTCTCTCTCTGTCTTTCCCCCTTTCATCCTTTCTCCTTTTTGAACGTTCTATTCTTTTGTACGCGATCTCTAGTTATTGTACGTCGAGCAAACGAGTTGAAAGACGATTCTTTCCCCTTTCTTCCCCGTATAAACTGTTCTTCTTTCGTCGTGAACCAGCGAGATACTAGCACAATTCATCGTTCACGTTAATGGTAAACTTGTTACAGTGTAATTTAGAAGCTTATTGCCTGTGCGTGGCAGTTTCCTTTTTTATCTCTCTCTCTCTAAACATTTGCCGTTCGATTTCGATTCGACTCGCTTCCCTCGAGTTCCTTATCTAGCGTTGGAAACGAAACGGAAAGAATCTAAACGATGGGTACGTGCATCTTTTATCGATGAAAGAAAAATAGTAAAAAAAAAAAAAAATATGAAAGAAACACGAATCTCTCTTTTACCGACGAATAATAAATCCCTTTTGCGACTTTGGAGTAGCGGTTCTTCTTATCAGTTACCAGTACCAATAGTGTATCTCTAACACCTAATTAATTACTTACGTAGTACAAGTGTGAAATGTAACCTAAAGCAGAATGGAGCTGTTGGTCGCCGTAATACGCGGACAGTGTGTGTGTAGGTCAGCGCATTGTTTTACAAGGCAAATGTATCGCAAAAAACTATAGGGTTTAAACAACATTCTTATCAGCTGTCGGTTTCATCAGTATTTTTCTCTCGATACCTAGGTACATACGTAGTATTATTACCGTCTGTATACTGAAAAAAGAAACGAAAAAACGCTCTAACTAATTACGATCCTCTCGAAAGAAATGAGTATTATTGTACAAGTCAGAAGTTCCGTACGCTGTTTTTAAACATGCGTACAACTCGTGCGCGTATTTTGGATAACGTGCAGCAACATTAATTCTTTATTTGATAATAGAAATTTCGCAACGAAGCGTTCTTTTCTTAGATCGTTTCAGTTTCTTCTATTTGTCATGTAATAATACTTTTCCAATTTATCGATCTATCAAATAAAGGATTAAATGTAGGTCGTTATTATGAGCGTAATCATCCTTGAGGATTGATTCACGCGTCGATTGCCTTGTCGACTTTTTGTTCTTTTTTTTTCTTTTAAACGATAACTTAGCAATTAATAACGCAACGCTGGATATAAAATTTCGTTCTTAACCCTTTCGCTGCGGCAAATTTTCTCAAAACGCAAAATCTTGAGTTTTGGCGTTTTAAAATTTGAAAAAATATTTCGAAGTTAAAATTCAAGAATTTATCGTTTTAAAGTTTGAAAAATATTTCAAAGTTAAAATTCAAGAATTTATATATTAAAATTTTAAAAATGTTTCAAAGTTAAAGTTCGTAAATTTATCGTTCCTAAATTTCTTTTATTGAATTAAAATTTTCAAAGCGCCTATAGGCGCCAACAGCAGTGAAAGGGTTAAACGTATGCTACGTCAGATTTTCACCTGATTTCAATTCGCATTCTTAATTACGTTCGAGCCAATCACACACAAATTCATTAAAATATTCGAAGCTTTAGAAATTTCACAATTTCACTTGGACTGCGCTTAAAAATAACATTCTTCGTTATTTCTCTACAAATTCTTCATCCTGAACAGTTGATCTCAATTTAAACATCATATTCGTCAAATTTCGTCGACTTTTCAGCTTCCGAAATTTCACAATTTCACTTAAATTGCGCTTAAAAATCGTCAAACCGAGATTATTCGTTATTTCTCTACAAATTCTTCATCCTGAACGATTGATCTCAATTTAAACATCATATTCGTGAAATTTCGTCGACTTTTCTTGGACAACGAACGCGCGAACGAACTTAAACGCACAGAGGATGACATCAGCGGTATCCGCGTTTAGATGACTCGTTTCGTGTGCCTTATCGATTATCTTCTACGTGTATGTCATCGCCTACGTCAACACGATTCCAGCTACGTACTAACTAATAATAATTAGTGCTACGATACTATGTACAGAAAACGCATTGCATTGGCACAGCAAACGTGGGTGCCTGGACTGCCATCCATCGTTTCGCCGCATAGCGTACACTTTAACGCACGATCAGTATAGTGTAACTCGTGTAACATAGGTACTCGCTGCCTACATTCGTCATGTTTCTGTGTCGTGTCGATAACAGAAGCGAAAGAGCACGTACTCGATACATACGAATCGTTCGCCGTTCAAAAATATTTCCTCTCGATAATCTTACGCGATTTTATTCTTCTGTCCGAGAAGACTCTGTTATGCTTGTTTCTACCGTACAGAATAATAGTTTCAATTACTCTCGAATAGCGAAACACTTCGCGGTTGGTTTTGTTGCGATTGGTTTCGCGAGGGAATCCCCGGATCGACGCGAAATATTTTTATAAAATATTTATAAATATCTTTTACGCGGCAAGCGCGATATATGCGTGTTCACGCGAGTTTATTTGTAATGATAAATT